TTATGTCTGTGGACCGTGTGTGTGTGTGTGTGTGTGTGTGTGTGTGTGTGTGTGTGTGTGTGTGTGTGTGTGTGTGCCTGGTGCCATGGAGAAGAACAAAGAGCACCGGACCCGAGATTACAGACAGTTAGGAGCTATCTTCTGGTGCTGGGAACCAAACGCAGGTCCTCTGCAAGATCAGCCAGTGATCTTAACCACTGAGCTGACTCCAGCTCCCCCATCTTTTGAGACAGGGTGTCTAGCCTAGACTTACCACAAACTAGCTATGTAGCTGAAACTGACCTTGAACTTTTGGTAACTCTGTCTTCACCTCTCAGTGCTGGGAGCGCAGGTGTGCACCACCACACCTGGTTTTCTTACTTCTTTGTTTGTTTGGTTTTCAGTTTTTGAGACAGGGTTTCTCTGTGTAGCCCTGGCTGTCCTGGAACTCACTTTATAGCCCAGGCTGGCCTCGAACTCACAGAGATCGATCCACTTGCCTCTGCCTCCCAAGTGCTGGGATCAAAGGTGTGCACCACTACACCTGGCCCTTTTTTCTTTTTTGAACAAACCAAATTAATTTTTTTTTTTATTATTATCTATCTGGTTAGGGACAAGGTGAAGATCCTGCATGCTAGGCAAGTGCTCACTACCACCGAGCTACAGCTATAGCCCCGAATTCTGTTTTCAAATAGTATCAGCAAGAGCCATCATCCTGGGTCTTCTCTCCCTTTACAGCGTCATTACTCCAGTGGCCCCCCCTGAACCTAAGGCCCATTTCCCACCCGTCTTTTTTTTTTTATTATTATTCATGTATTTAATGTGTACAGGTGTTTAGACTGCATACACCACATGCATACAGTGCCCACAGAGACCAGAGGAAGATGCCAGATCCCCAAGACTGGAGTTACAAATAGATTGAGAGTAGGAATCGAACCCCGGTCCTCTGGAAGAGCAGCCAGTATTCTTAACCACTGAGCCATCTCTCCAGCCTCCCCCCACCTATCTTCTCTCTCTGCCTTGTATGGTCTCCCCACAGCCCTCCAGTACCAGGGAATAAGAACCACCTATAGATGGACTCTGAAACACTTGACTGGATGCCCAGACACGTGACCAGAACCCACCAGAGGAGCCCTGTTCTTCTGACACATGCCAGGGCCCACCTGTCCCACCAGCACTCAAACCCCCAAGCACCCCAGGCTCCTCGGGCCCACAGACGCTTCCTTCACTCACCAAAGCCTCCAGGGTTGGAACGCGGAGTGTAGAAGCTCTGGACCCCGCATCTCTTGCAGAAGGTGTGCTGGGCTTTGTGCGTGTTGAACGTGTATGTGGTTATGCTCTCGGCGCCCTGGAGAACAGACACAAGCGGACGAGGAGATCATTTAATGCTACTAAAAGTCAATCTTTTGAAAGGATTGGTGGTGGTGCCCTTTTGTAGAGTTCTCTGGGTTGTGGAGATGGCTCCCATTTCCTAGAAAAGCTTTAAAGCTTCTTGACAACAGGGACCCATCTGGATTCCCCAGACACAGTTCACTCTGGAGCCCGACAGTCTACAGATCCTCCTATACCAACTGTACACGAACGACCCAACCTCGAGTTGATGTACACCCAAACAGAATACCCTCTAAGAGTCCAAGGGACAGCTGCCTGCTTCCCAGTGCCACTCACCTGAGGGACTGGCTCTCCATGTCTCCAAAAAGCATTGCTCAAGATCTTAAGGACACTACTGACTATACTTGAATTATTTATAAAGGAAAAACTAGGAAAAAACTCTTGGCCACATGTCATAAACAAAGGGTTAGTTTTCTTTTTTCTTTTCTTCTTCTTTTTTTTGTTTTGTTTTGTTTTTTGTTTTTTGTTTTTTCAGACAGGGTTTCTCTGTGTTATAGCTCTGGCTGTCCTGGAACTCACTCTGTAGACCAGGCTGGCCTCGAACTCAGAGCTCCACCTGCCTCTGTCTCCCAAGAGCTGGGATTAAAAGCATGTGTCACCACCACCACCTGGCTAAGGGTTAGTTTTCTTAATGGACAATATAAATGAAAAATGGGCAAAGAATATGAATGGGCAGTTGAGAGAAAAAAAGAACATATGAAATGATGTTTACATTGATGACCTACAACAAGATACTTCCTAGTACCTGGTGAGAAAGATTTAAAAAATCACAAATGTGAGGCCGGAGAGATGGCTCAGCAGTTAGAGCATATAGTGCTTTTGCAGAGGACCTGAGAGTTCTGTTGCCATTGCCAATATCAGGTGGCTCAAAACTGCCTATAACTCCTGCTCCACAGGCACCTGCTTCATGTGCACATGCACACATGCACAGATATATGCACATATACATAATTAAAACTCACTGATCTAACAACCTCTTCCGGCCTCCATGGGCACTGGCATGTACATGTGCCTGTACATATGCATATGTACATGGCATGTACATATGCAGACATACACAAACACATAAAAATATAAATAAATCTTTGTTTTTAAAATCACAATGGTAGAGGCTGGAGAGATGGCTCAGCATTTGAGAGTACTGGCTGCTCTTCCAGAGGACCCAGCACCCATATGGCAGCTCATGGCTGTCTGTGGCTCCAGTCCCAGGGGATCTGACGCCCTCACAGACATATATGCAGGCAAAACACCAATGCACATGAAATGAAAATAAATAAAGCATTATTTTAAAAAAAAATCACAATGGGCCAGGTGGTAGTGGCACACGCCTTTAATCCCATCACTAAGGCAGATCTCTGTGAGTTCAAGTTCCAGGACAGGCTACAAAGCTACAGAGAAACCCTGTCTCGAAGAAAAAAAAAAAAAAGCTGGGGGGAAGGGGGTGCGTGGCAGCAGTCAAGAGCACTGTCAGCTCTTCCAGAAATTCTGAGTTCAATTCCCAGCAACCACATGGTGGCTCACAGCCATCTATAATGGAATCTGATGCCCTTTTCTGGGATGCAGGTGGGTGTACATGCAGAGAGAGCACCATATATATAAAAATAAATAAATAAATAAATAAATAAATAAATAAATAAATAAATAATAAAATTAAAACAAATCCCAATGGTGGTTAACATGACATTGAAAAGCAGACACAGAAATAGACATTCTGCCAGTGTTGGTGACGCATGCCTATAATCCTAGCACTTGGGAGGTGGAATCCTGGCATCTAGACAGAAAGATCAGAGATTCAACATCACCCCAAGCTAGCTCAAGGCCAGCTGGGGCTGCATGAGACCATGTCTCAAAAAAAAAAAAAAAAAAAAAAATCATAGCAATGAGGGGCTAGCTGGAGAAATGGGTTGGCAGTTAAGAGCACTTCTTGCTCTTTCAGAGGACTGGAGTTTGGGTTTCAGCACCCATGGGCAGCTCATAACCACCTGTAAGTCCAGCTGCAGGGCATTTGAGAAATTCTTCTAGCCTCCACAGGCACTGGCATGTGCCTACGAATAATGGAGACACACATACATACACATAAAGAAACATAAAATAAAGAGTGCCTGCCAATACTAAGCAGCACTAACAATCTCCAAGTTTCCAAAGTGAAATACACAAGACGTAAAACATGGGTTGTAGGTATGGCACATGGTGGAGCCCATGTGCCATACCCACACTAGGCCCTGGATCCAACCAGCATGACAAAGATGGAGGGGTTAACTGTTTACTAGAATTATTTTTTATTTTTAAATATATATCCTTGTATGTTTTCCATGCATATAAATTGTTCAAGAGGATCTAAAAACAGTTGTTCTCAAAGAGCAGAAACTTGGTGGCTGAAGAGTAGGGGTTACTGAGCTGGAGAGATGGCTCAGGGGCTAAGAGAGCCTGAGCCTGCTGCCCAATCGTGAGGGCCAGAATTCATATCCTAGCACATATATGGACACCTCACAGTGTCCTATAACTCCCACTCTAAGGGATCCAGTGTTTTTCTCTGTGGGCTTCTGTATACGTGCACAGTCATGTAGACATATAAATGCAGATACACACAAACTCACACATACATTAAAAAAATAAATTTTACATTTTTTTTTAAGCTGGGTAGTGGTGGCGCACACCTTTGATCCCAGCACTTGAGAGGCAAAGGCAGGCGGATCCCTGCGAGTTTGAGGCCAGCTGGGTCTACAGAGGGAGATCCAGGACAGCCAAGACTACACAGAGAAACTCTGTCTTGAAAAACAAAACAAAGCCGGGCGGTGGTGGCACAGGCCTTTAACCACAGCACTCGAGAGGCAGAGGCAGGCGGATCTCTGTGAGTTCGAGGCCAGCCTGGGCTACAGAGTGAGTTCCAGAAAGGCGCCAAAGCTACATAGAGAAACCCTGTCTCGAAGAAAAAAAAAAAGTTTTAAACATTTATTTATTTCTATCTTATGTGCAATGGTGTTTGGCCTGCATGTATGTCTGTGTGAGGATGTCGGATCCTGAGGGTGTCAGACTTACAGACATTTGTAAGCTGCCACGTGGGTGCTGGGAATAAATTGAACCTGGGTCCTCTGGAAAGCAGTCAGTGCTCTTAACTGCTGAGCCATCTCTCCAGGCCCATACATTTAAAAAAAATGTAAAGATTTATCTATTGTATTTCACGTATATGAGTGTTTCGACTGCATGTGTATGTGTGTGCGCGTGTGTGCGCGCGCGCGCCTAGTGTGTGTCTGGTTCCATGAAGGTAAGAAGAGGGCATCAGACCTTGGGGCTGGAGTTATAGATGGCTGTCAATCAGCATGTGGGTGCCAGGAATTGAATCCAGGTTCTCTGGAAGAGTAACAAGTGCTCTTAACCTCTGAGCTCTCTCCAAGCCCCTGAAAATGCTTTATCTTTTTTTTAAGATTTATTTTTAATTATGTGTATGTGTTTGTTGATACTCTTGGAAGCCAGAGACACTGGGTCATGGGACTCAAATTCAGGTCCTCTGCAAGAGCAGTACAGACTCTGAACCACTGAGTTAATTCCAGCCTCGATCTAAAAATGTTTCCAACAGTGGTGGCTGCAACTTCTTATTAGTACACATTTCACATTTCTCCCACACTTCCTCACAGGCCACTGATTGCCATCTACCACGAGCTCCCTAAGGTTTTTGTTTGTTTGTTTTAATTGGAGCTATATGTGCACATAGAAAACTTCCTGTAAAAATAGCTCCAAGCTTCTTACTCATAACCTGGTACATCAGAACCACCAGGCTCAGCAAGACCCTCGACACCTTACCTGATCTCATCTATTACTACAAGTCACCCAGTGATACCCAGATCCTCTTCATCTATGCATCCACCAACTGGATCCCAAGTGCCCTGCCTGTCATTATCAAAACCTGCCACATGGAACCCGGTATAGTGGTGCATGCCGTTAGTCCCGGCACTTGGGAGGCAGAGGCAGGCATGAGGCCAGCCTGGTTTACAGGGAGTTCCAGGACAGCCATAGCTACATTGTGAGACTCTTGTTTAGGAAAAAAATTCCACATGGGTCATTCCTTGACTTTTTAACACCAATGACAAATCCAATGACTGTGTCATTTTCTTTCTTTCCTTTTTAAAGCAGGTCTAGAATTGAACCTTGAGCGTCATGCACGAGGCAAGCACTCGCTAGTGAGCTACAACCCCAAATGGCCACCTTTTTGATAAATTTTATTTACCATCATTTTGTGAGTATGTATGATTGTGGTAGTGGGGGAACATGCACGCCATGGCCCATGTGTGGTCAAAAGACAACTTCAGTGGCCCTTTATCTCCTTTCATTTCCAGATGGGCTTCTGGAATCAAACTCAGTCACCAAGCTTGCACTGTTGGCCCACAACCATTCTTTTGACCACTGACTCCTTCTGAACATGGCTGCCCACAGCATTCCATTGTGAAGCATTTGCCACTGAATACACCGCATTCTGTGTTTATTTCCTCTATGACCTACATCCTCTTCTGTTCATGTACTGAAAAATATTCACAGCCTGTCCTCAGCCTTCTCTTTGCCCTGGATACCTTTACACAGCTGACTTCCGGTGCTGCAGAGACCTAACAACAAATGTGCCACAACTCCCAGGTCCCTGGCCCCATCTCTGCTGTGTCCAGACTTGTAGATCCAGCTTCCAACTGGCCAACAGGAAGACTGTGGACAAATCGAGGGAGGACGTGTGACCTAGAGCACCAGGAAGGACATGTAGAAGCCTTGTAAAGACATGTGCCACAGAGCACCAGGAAGTGTGGAAAGGCCAAGGGAAGAAGTGTGCCACAGAGCACCAGGAAGTGTGGAAAGGCCAAGGGAAGAAGTGTGCCACAGAGCACCAGGAAAGATGTGGACAAGACAATCAAGGAAGAAAACAGAGACCCAATTCCCCACCCAGGCTGCATCTACTGGTATCTTCAGGAGCTG